TGTGTGTGTGTTCACGATAATTTTATGGTAGAGAAAAAATGCTCCCGAAATGGTTCAGTCATTGATGCAACTGAAATTGCCTCGTTGACAATAAAAAAAAGTATGGTAGTGAAAAAAAAGATACCAGAGGTTGAACTTCCTATAGAAATAATAGTGACGGATGATTTATGTTTGGCACAGAACTTTCTCCCATGGGGTACAGGGAGGAGGTGGGAGAGGGGGGCATGGGGAAGACGAGTTGTGGTGGCTTGAGAAGCACTTGTCTATCTATCAAGTGACTGAAAAGAAAAAAAAGTTCACCTCGATGTAAGGCCCTGGAACCGAGCCTGGTCATACACACACAATTTCGTTACTTTGACTGCAACACAAATCATGGTGATGCACGTCAGTGTACTGGTGCGGCAAACTTGACACCGCCGTAGCTTCTAATAGTGCCTCTGACTCCTCTCCCTCCCTGAGCCCAAGCTTGAGCCTTAATGCACTCCGCGACTCCACCTTATTCATTAAACAAGGTAAATAAGCTGATTGCAAGGGAGGAAAGAGAGGCTACCTTGGACAGCATTTGGAAGGAGTGTGGTGGGGATACTTAACTATGAAGGAGGAATCACATTTAGAGAAATCTAATATTCTTGATCCTTATTCAATCCTGTACTATTAACCATGCAGGGAGAAGAGTGACGGAAGAAGGTGATGGATGGAGGCAGAGATGACGGTCTACTTGTCAGATTGTCATCGTTTAGTCACTCTCCAATGCACACAACTAAGCACCTTCACCTCAGCTCAGAAGACCATACCTAGTGTATTTGTGCTGACCTGTAGACAGAATTGTTTACTAGGAAGTATTAACCCTGCTGAAGGCCAAACATTTGCATCTGAGACGTACCCTGAAGGTGTAGAATAGGAAGCGCTTAAGAAGCAGTCAGGAGGTCGGATCAGTGAGTGGGTGAAGTAAAGACGTCATTTGTACAGAATGCAATGCAAACCCTCCCACCCCCATCCCAGGCACAACACACTAAATTTGACATTAGACAATCACATGACTGTAGGCACGATAGAACTAAATTTATTTGTTTTGACGAGGATGAATGCGAGAGAGAAGGGAAGGGGGAAGGGATGGGGGAGGCGAGAAGAGGATCTTTTTATAAGGTTAAAATTAGCATTTAATATGCGTCTGGTCTGAGAAGGATAGGAGGCTGTAATTACGGTTATTTTCCCTGCTCAAGGTTTCAGAAAAGGCACCTAGAGTTGCCCCATTCCCACCAATACAAAATCACATCAACTTGTGGGGTTCACATTCCAAAACAAACAGGTTGTAAATTGAAAGATGAGCCATTGGAGAGGCTGAAGGCTTTCATTCATGCATTCATTTAACGGCTACAAATTGACAGCAGTGGCAAGAAGAAGCAAGGAAGTAGGAGAGTTGGGCAGACTCTACCACCTCCATTACCAGTGAGTGGGCGTGAAGGACAAGCGGAGTAGTCGGAGCAAACAAATCTGAACTCAAAATCGAGCAGGACACATTTAATGAACTCTGACGAATTCTCTTTCTCTTAAAATAGATGACAAGTTGATTTGCAGGCCAATTGCCACCTAAAATGTGTGTACATTTAAAGGTTACAGAGAAGTGAGATAAGGAAATTCGATTCATTGTTTTGAGGAGAACGCCAATTTTTGCATTCTTGAGAAAAACGGAAGGGAAGGGCATATGAAAGCGTAATTGGTGTACCTTATTGACAGCCAGAATGCTGCTTGCCACTTTGGATTAGCCAATGACACGACAATGACAGGGTACAAATTGTTTATGCAATCCTGTACATCCTCTGTCACCCGCCTAGCAACCCTCTTGGCACAGTCAACATTCGTATAAGTCACCTTGACCTCCCTTCCAAGACAGGTCTACCCACTTGAAGGTGAAAGAAGCGATGAGACAAGCAAAATTAAAAAACTTGGAGTACAAGGTGTGAACTTACCTGAAGGTTGAAGAATCTAGCGTTGGCAGCCCGAGCTGTAGCCCTGGCGAGGAGAGTTTTTCCACACCCAGGGGGACCGTAGAAGAGGACCCCCTTAGGTGCACGAAAAAGACGTGAACGTGGCAAAAGGTAAGTCGAGGCACGGAAGGGTAGGATGACGGAGTCAAGTAAGTCGGTCACTACCTCATCCAGGCCCCCAATGCTGGACCAAGAGGTCTCCAGTGCTGTGGTGTCCACAAGACTCACTGCAATGCATACCTCATAATCGGTAAGTTTGGGCAGGGGACTGACCCGAAGGAGTTTGAGAACCTCCATAGCCTAGGGGCATCAAAGCATTGGAAAGTAGAGCGTATTTAACGTGGATGGATTTAGGACTCAGTAATTCAAGCAAAAATTAATTTTCCAACACAAAGGCGAAGCCAAGAGG